CAAAGGCCAGGTATTGTAGTTCAATAGATAAGCACTACTTACTTGCCTACACATATAAGCCCTGTGTTTGATCCCCAGCACTGAAAAAAATATTTGTTTTTAAATCAAGCCCTGAGATGTTTAGAGATTCTTGGGACTGAAAAGTACTCTTCTCAGCAGAACAAATTAGGCTAGAAAACACTTAAGGCCACAAATATGTCTCGAGGCAGGGTTTCACATCATAGCCCAGATTACATAGCCCAGGCTGTCCTCAAATTGGAAGCAATCCTCTTACCCCAGGCTCCAGAGTGCAGAGTTTATGACCATGAGACTCCATACTCAGCCACTGTTTTGATTCATTCCCTCTGGTTCTGTCATGACTAGTATCTGTTGTCTGTCCTTTGAAACCCTGGCCAGAGAACTTTCAGACACTGCTCCCCAGAACACTGTACCCAATACTTCTGTTGTCCTGGTGCCAACCTGTAATCCCAGCACTCCAAAGTTGGAGGTATTAGAGTCAGTAGCTCAAGATCATCCTTAGTTATATAGCAAGTTCCAGGTCAGCCTGGACTGTATGAGACCCTGTCTCGAAAAAGAAAAGTTGCAGGGTTAAAGCTGTTGTTCAAAAGTAGAGGCCCTGGGTTCCATCCCTCGCACAGGAGGAAGAGGGGAAAAAGAACTTTTCCTTTGCTACTTAACTGACTGTTCTTGGGCAGTTACTAGGAGAGGTTATCTCTGAAATGATGGTTGAATGGCACAAACACAGGGAGGGGGGTTAAAAAAGCAAAATGAAATAATAGGTATTGGGTGCTTAGAAATTGGTACAAGGGGGGCTGGAGAGATGGCTCAGAGGTTAAGAGCACTGGCTGCTCCTCCAGAGATCCGGAGTTCAATTCCCAACAACCACATGGTGGCTCACAACCATCTGTAATGAAATCTGATACCCTCTTCTGGCCTGTAGGCATATATGCAGACAGAATGTTGTATTCATAATAAGTAAATAAATCTTAAAAAAAAAAAAAAAAGAAATTGGTACAAGGAGCCAGGCGTTGGTGCCGTTGGTGGCGCATGCCTTTAATCCCAGCACTAGGGAGGCAGAGGCAGGCAGATCTCTGTGAGTTAGAGGCAAGCCTGATCTCCAGAGTGAGTGCCAGGATAGCCTTCAAAGCTACACAGAGAAACCCTGTCTCAAAAAACCAAAAAAAAAGAAAAAAAGAAAAGAAATTGGTACTAGGAGACATGGTTAGATGGTGGTAATTGCCTGTAACGAGGGCCATCTTCATTGATATGCCCCACCTTCCTCTCCCTTCTGTGGCCCTCATGAATGAGGACAACGGAAAGTAGCCCCATAGCGTCCCTGGTCAGGTTCCTCTCCAGGCAGAACTCCAGCACAATCGGCACTCTGCTCAAGCTGCTGGTTCCTGGACTGGAGCTCCTGGGTCCTCAAGGCCAGATCAATGGTGTCTTGGAGGACTCCAGCCAGCAGACTGCGGTGATGGTGTTCTGTGGCCATGGCCTTCTCCTCCCACAGCCCCTGCCAGGCTTGGAAAACCTGTGTTGAGTCAGATATGCCTGTTGGTCCACCAGCCTTGGCACCAAATTAAGGTCTGCCCTCTGTCTCCACTGACCTGCAGCAAGTGGCATGTCCGAGCTCTGGTGGCCTGTACATACAAGTCATAGAGGGCCACCAGATCATGCTCTGCCATGTCCCGTTCTGCCTGCAGGGCTTCCACTTGAAGTTTCAGCACTGTCCGCTCCTTCCACTGTGTCTCTCCCTCCTCACAAGCCTGCAGGTAAAGTTGCAACTTTTGGTGAGTGCCACTGGCCAGGCTTTGTGTGCAATACTTACTGCACGTGATCTCATTTTATCCCAGTCAACCTTATTCGGACATTTCCCTTTTCCAGATTTGCAAATAGTGCATCAGGGAAATGATCTGATTGGCCAAATTCTATGTCTATGGAAATCTTTTAAGCAGACCAAGCTATACAACTGTCACATGTATGTAGAGGACCTGGGTCAGTTAGTCCCATGCAGGCTCCCTCATTGTTGGTTCAGACTCTCTGAGCTCCTATGAGCCAGGTTAGTTGTTGAGGTAGGTACATGTCTCCTTCCTTTCTCCCTCCCTCCCTCCCTCCCTCTTTCCCTTTCTTTCTTTCTTTCTTCCTTTCTTTCTTTCTTTCTTTCTTTCTTTCTTTCTTTCTTTCTTTCCTGGTTTGTTGAGACAGGATTTCTCTGTGTAGCTTTGGAGCCTGTCCTGGAATTTGCTCAGTAGACCAGACCGGCCTGGAACTCACAGAGATTCTCCCGTCTCTGCCTCCCAAGTGTTGGGACTAAGGCATGTGCCACCACCACCCAGCTACATTTTATTTCATAAACAGTCATTTTCTGAGCAACTTCGTGATGAGCACTGACTGCCCTCAAAGAGCTGAATGCAGTGAATTCCTGGGCTGACTGGTTTTCCTGAGTCTCTACTTAGACCCACTCTCCTCTGGTCCACTCCAGCCTGGGTAAAGTGGACCTCATTGTTCCCATCACAGAAACAGCACTGAGTGTGGCCTCTTCTGTACCCCATAGGGCATTTGGACCAGTCTGTTATGATTGAGTTTAAATCCTTGCCTAGGTACAGGAGCCTCAAGCCCCATACTTCCCCCCTCCCTCCTCACCTCTTCTGCCACCATTCCTTTGCTCTGTTTACAGGCTCCTCCCTCCTGATGTTCCACGTGTTTCAGCTCTTCCTGGATCCAAATCCGGTATTGCTCTCGAAGTCTCTGCCTCCGTGCCTGGGCCAGAAAGAACTGCAGGGCCACATCTGGGGCCTGATGGGCCTAAATGGCATCGTTTGAGGCTTATGCATTACATTTGGAACACAGACACCAACCTTTCCAACAGAGCTTCATTGCCAGGGCTGTTCCTAGAATCTAACTGGCTGAGGAGAGTCCAGAGACTCAGCTGTGGGTGGAAGGAGGAGATCTGCCCCTGCTGCTGGTGCTGTATAAGGGCCCCCTCACTATAATCCGTCCCAGGACAGCAGCTCCTCCCATGACCCTCCCCCACCCCAGGAGATCCTGGAAGACTTTATAGGTCCTTGTCAGAAACTCCATATTCCTCCCTAGTATCAGCACAGGGCTTGAGGGCTCCTTTCTCCCCCAAGTTTCCAGTTGTTTTGGGGGTACAAGAAGTGTTAATAGTACCTGTTCCTCAGAGTGCCTGAGAGGATGTGTTTGGTGGAACCCAGACCCTAAAAATCCTCCTCTTCCTGCCTCTGGAGGAAAGTGTCATTAGTTACATCAAAGCTCCCCCCCCCCCCCCACACACACACCACACACACACACACACACACACAGACACACACACACACACTGTAGACGGATGAATAACAATGTAACCAAAGGCGGTGGGGGGGGTGTGTGTGTGAAGGGCTGGTTTCAACCATCCTACAGCAAATCCTGGAAGACACATCTTCCCCTTTTGGGCAAGAAAGGCTTTGTCTAAAGCTGTGGTTCTCAACTTGCTGGTCTCGACCCTTTCATAGCAGCCACCTAACACTATCAGAAAACACAGATATTTACATTACAAACCACAACAGTAGCAAAATTACAGTTATGAAATAGCAGTGAAAATGATTTTATGGTCAAGGATCACACAACAAGGGGAAGGTTGAGAACCACTGCACTCT